CATGCAACTATAGTAACACGTACAGTCTTTCAAGAAAACGATTTTGTTAAGCGAGATCCAACCGTGAAAGTATGCCGTAGGCAGTGTAAAGTACACTGAGACCGATGGGCGTAAATCAGATGATATTGATAGAAACAAGTACTTGGATAGAGTTAGGGAAGATTTAGCAAACGATATACGATGTATAAAGGTATAAATGTAGGTTATATATATACCTCGAGTTCACCTTGAGGGTTATTTTCTGCGTGTACTGGATCCGCTTCTACTGCATTTTGTGCTGGTGCTGGTTCTTCCCCGTTAGCAGGAACGACAACTTGATCCTGAGGTTCGTCCCTAGGGAATTGTATATTATCTAAATTTTCTTCTGCCATGAAGAAAATAAAATGAGAGATGTAATCTTCAAAAAATTCGCGGTGGTCGAGCGACGGCTACAATAGACGTTCAGCAGCACACAGCCGTTGTTTGAAAACCAAGCGAGAAGAGAGCGTTACTTTGGCCGGACCTGTCTTTTATGATCTCCACAACGTCATCCATCCACTCATTAATATTTATCTTGATTATTATTCCATATTCTATCTTTGCATATCATTAAGAGTGTTATGAATAGTTCTTTATCCCTTCTACTTTCTCATTAGCATTAAGTTATGGCGAGTAAACCCTGACAAGCATGCTTGAAAGGGTAAGCAATGAGAACGCAGAAGGGATGGGCCGGGCGGGGAACGTTTTCCTCTGAAGCTCGTGCCAACTGACGTTAATTTATTCCCAGTTACTTTACTTATAATGCTAATGACGTCATCGGGATTATGAATATTCAACTAGTTTGAATAGTTCTTTATCCCTTCTACTTTCTCATTAGCATTAAGTTATGGCGAGTAAACCCTGACTGCGCAACCCTGCCGTTAAGACACCCGATCACCCTAATTCTCCTTATTCGACGTCCCCCCAACTTCCCTACTTCCCAATACTCATTACCACTTCCTCACTGCCAGTACTTCCCCCAATACTTATTATATATTCCCCAATACTGAACACAAAGAATAAATTACATGAACATCCCCACACTTGATTTATTCGTCCTTCCAGTTTGGTCCCTCAGAACGCTTGTTTAAATTCAGGCATGTCATTACGTTATATGAGCCGATTAATCTCATTTACTGTATCACGCGCACTTTTCATTCCCTCTGAGCTCGGGCTTCCCGTCGCCGATACCCACAATATCGGTTGGTTTTGCGTCCTTCGCACCATGTCAAGAGGATCAAGCAGGTCATCCCGACTGTAATTACAAAACCAAATTACCGAAATTAATACCAACCCCTGGAAGCCGAGCTCAGAGAAAATGATCACCGTCGACCCGAAGGCTCTCAAGAACCGGGCAAAGCCCTAAGTGCTTGTGGGATCATTTCTCGTCACTCGCTTCCCTCGAATTATACCATGACATAACCCCTATATTCGAAACGAGTTATCAACCATCAAAATTACCAAACAGGTTTCTTTCTTTTTTTTTTTTACATGAATAATATCGATATGCCATATATGGTTCGAGTATGAATGAATTTAGGACTATACGCACACCACCCGTAATTGTCACACGATATAACCCTATGTCTATATGCTAAAATAGTAAGTTGATTCCAAGCCTCACATGCGACGCTGAGGACATGCCCGCGCAAAATGCCCGGGTTGTCCGTACACCCAACATTTCAAGTCACTGCGAGCAGGCCTCCCCACTCCAAATCTGCGACGACCGCGGAACGATGTCCCGCGAGGCCTCGCCGGCGCAACAGACTGCTGGAGTGTCTGGTGAGATTCCCAAGATTTTGTGATGACTTTGGCAACTTCGGACTCCTCCTTACTTGCGACCAACTTCATCAAGATGTCTTTTAATAGGCGTTTATCGTTGACAAACGGCCGGCATTGCGTCAAGATAATAAAAACGCTTGAGGCGGTCATCATTTTTGTCGCGACATACGTCGACGACCACCTCCTCTAACGCCGCTAACACGGCGTGCTCATCAAACAGCGATTCTGGCCGTGCTGCAAACGCCTGCAGGGCCAAAATTTTATTCTCCACGGAGGCCTGATCCGTTTTCGACTGCAAGGTCCGTAACTGCTTTTGAAGTTTTTCAATCTGCAAAACAATACTCTCCTCCTGTCCCTGTCCGGACGGGGAATGCTTATCTCTCAACCCTTCACGGTTGTTCCAATGGGCCACGCCACTAACCACATGTTAGTGGTAAATGAATCGTACACAGGTTTAATTATCGCCTGGCCGTGTTGTAGTCAGATACACGCAATGCCCCTACGCGGGCTTGCCTTGTCGGCCCTTTAATGCACCCTTCACGGTTGCATGACCCCAACGTTGCTTTATACCCATCTCTTCAACCCTACGCGGTTGTATATTACAAGTACGTCCCTGCTCGGACTCTGGCTACAGTTCTCGTACCCACTGTAGGACAACTCCTAGTAGCGGGGTTATTAAAACCCCAGATAACCGAATCCAAGTGCCCCCTCACTATTCCTGCATATATATGGCTAAAGCTCAAACAGAACACCTACCCTGGCGGACTATAAATGGGTTCAAAACCTTAATGGTCTAATTTGTCGCCCAGCAATGCGCACCGTCAGCGATTGCGATATAAACATTGAAGTTTAACAAGCCTCGATCAGACCACAATCTGAACGTACATTGAAACTGACATAATGCGACTAAGGTGCTCAATAATTGGTGAAATACCATCTGACGAAAATAGCGACAAGGACAATACCGCCTTGGCAACGACACACTTCATTGATCAGCAGCTATAAACACATGTCTGATTCAAAGCCCTGAAATGGCGAAAACAAGGCACACACGCCCTTCAAATGCGAATCTTTGGCGTAGTAAATGGTACGAAGGTGCCATATCTCTCCCCTGCTTAACCAGATCGCAGAAACTATTCGTCGGCAGCGTACTGAAGTTAACTAGCTATCCAGTAGAACTCTAAAATACCTCAAGCTTGTCATTACTCGTGGGCGGCGTAGCGCCATCAACCACCACATGTTGTGCCAGTGCTTGGCTTGTAGAAGGTCCAGACTCAGACGTCGTCGCTGTCGGCTGGACAGGATCTGTTGTATTAGGCGGTTGAATCGCAGCCTCTGCATCAATAGCCGCTACTATATTTCTAAGCTCTTCGGACGAAGCGCCGGCAGGCCGGGACATCGTGTGAAAGAATCTTGAGAACGTTTTCCTCTGAAGCTCGTGCCAACTGACGTTAATTTATTCCCAGTTACTTTACTTATAATGCTAATGACGTCATCGGGATTATGAATATTCAACTAGTTTGAATAGTTGTATGAACCATTCGTGTTGTTGCAATTTGCCTTTGAGTGACATACTTTGGCAGATACATTCAAACATTCGTCAATGTCTAAAGCAGCAAATTATTTCAAAATTGTTTCAAATGATCAGTTCAAATCAATGAAATTAAAAAAGTTCTCATTAGGATATATATATTAGTTGAACGGCGTCCTTAAAATAAATTTCATTGGAAGATATAAATCTTAAAAGATTCGTTTTTTAAATTTATAACCATCGAAGAGCTTGAAAAGTGAAAACAGATTGTTTACCTGTACAATTCTTTCCAACCATTGCATAACCAGGGAGACAAGTGTCTAAAAATACACAAGAAAAAAAAGTTTTCTCATCCTAGAACCCAAACAAAAAAAGCATATATAAATATTCAGGTACAAAGAGTTGCAAAAAAGTTGCGAGTAAGCGGGTGTGTACCATCCGTGAGGAAGATTTCCTTTGAATGAGGTTTGTGAGGAAGGTTCAAAGTTGAACGCTCTAATTGATCACATGCATATAGCAAAAAAACAAATATCTCTTTATCTCTTCGTTTCGGTAACATCATAACTGGAAGGTACTTTGTCATGACGAGCTCTGTTTTCTGTGCTCTATATAGATCGAGCTCGTACAATTAATAAACAACTCAGACGCAGTTGGAAAAATTATGCTGGCTGCCACTTGATTCATTGACGGTTATTGTCATGATAATGCGACAAATAATTAGATTTCTATATTCTTATATGTTTAATGTACTGACGGGGCGACAATTTTGGTGCTAAGTATTACAATCTATAAAGTCATTTTAATCAGGTAAGGCCGCCTTTTAAAATTTGAGATCGTGGGGGAAAGTAAGGAAAAAAATTAAAAAGTTTAAAAAGTTCTTTTCCGTAAAATGAGATTTTAGTCATATACAAATGCGTTTCTGGGCCTGTACATAGGACATACTTAGAAACTATAAAATCGACGTTAAATATTTTACACCCTAGGTGTGCAATTTTTTCCATTTCCTGAATATTCAGAGAGACACGTGCAGTTGTATGAACCATTCGTTTTAATACAACTTGCATTTGTGTGACATCATGGCCAGAAATTGCGGACATGGAATATGCAGATTGCCGTGGCAAATTTGCATATCTGTTCAAATATTATTCGTTTGCAGAACTAAAAATTACATTGCGCATTCTTAAATTTCGCAAAATTAAGGAAAACCATTGCATCTTTGCAATTTGCCCTGGTTGTTTCTTGTAATTCGTGTCATATTAAAGATCCTGAGTTAATATTTTGCTGGTAAAGGTTTATGTCGGCTCTGCATTTTTATTTTATTTGTACGCTATTACGGTTTTCGTTTTATATGGTATTCAACGTGATAAATGACCAAAACTTTGTTTTGAAAATGCAGGACGAATACTGATAAAACATTTTGAAATACTGTCTCAAAATATTAAGATTAACTTTCTCTGCAACGAGCAATTAAGGCTGTAGTGTTGTTGCATGTTATAGCACAACGTATATGATGTTAGATATAGGACAAGAGCGCGGGCTCAGAGGACGTACAAAAAACGTAGAAGAACACACGCTTGGTTGTAGTAGAAATAAGTATCACGAGTTACGTGAATAAAGTATATTTATCTTGTGCAAAAGACAAACTCTACAATTGGCGACGAGGATTATAATGGCTCAATTAAATTTAATGCCGAACTTGCCACAATTCGATGCTTATTCCGAGCCATCGTCAATCGCAACACGGTGGAAAGAATGGCTCGAACAATTCGAGATTTTTACAATTGCAGCTAAAGTTGAAGACAAGAAACAAAAGCGAGCGCTTCTTTTGCATATCAGCGGGCCAACTGTTCAGAAAGTGTTTAAAGGATTGACGGATACGGGAGACGACTACGATACAGCTGCCGCAAAACTCAACGAATATTTTGCTCCGAAGAAACATATTCGATATGAACGATACCATTTTAAACAAGCATGTCAACAAGACGGTGAGTCTATTGATCAATTCGCTTCTCGACTTCGTAACCTGGCTGAAACGTGTGAGTTTGAGAATATTGATGATGTTATTGCCGATCAAATTCTGGCTAATTGTAGCTCTAATAGACTGAAAGAAAAGATTCTTCGTGAAGAAAAAGCGGATTTGACCTTCATCTTAAAGCAAGGTCGTATTTTGGAATGCTCAAAACAACAAGCAGCTCGTATTGGTACCAACAGCCCTACAACTCCTGAGATCAGTGCCATTCAAGCAACACCTGCAAATCGCCCGCTAACAAGTAATGACCACCGACAACAGCCTAGAGGATATTGTAGAAATTGTGGTGAAACATGGCCCCATGTTCCCTCCAAGCCGTGCCCAGCATTTGGTAAATCCTGCCGTTCCTGTGGAAAGCAAAATCATTTTGCTCGAGTCTGCCGCAGTCGGCCCCAAAATCGCAACACCCAACGCCAAGGCCAGCAGCGTCCAAGACGTGAACAACTGAACCAAATCTCTGAAGACATCGTATCTGATGATGAGGAGGGATATATTTATGCAACCAATACTGACGGGGAACATGCTAATGTGATCTCCAGGCCTCAGCTTCCCGTTGTCATCAATGGTGTTGAAATTGTGATGATGATCGATTCGGGAGCATCAGTGAACATCCTCGACAAGGCAGCATATGAGCAAATAGTTACGCAGAATGATCATATTCAGTTGCAAAAGACGTCGACACGAATTTATGCCTATGGTGCAGCAGAACCTCTTGCCCTACTCGGAAAGTTTCAAGCCACTATTGAAACCTTATCAAGCAAAACCAATGGTTCATTTTATGTAGTTGATGGCTTCCAATGGCTCCATCCTTAGCCATGACACTTCAGTCGCCTTGGGATTAATTTCAGTCCACATTCATCAACACAGTCAGTGCTCAAAAATCCCTACCGCAGTTATTGGAAGAATACCAGGATATCTTCCATGGAATCGGCAAGCTCAAAGATTTCCAATTCCAAATATATATAGACCCAGATGTAAAGCCGTTGCCCAGCTGCCACGTCGTAGACCTTTTCATATCCGAAAGCAAGTAGAGCAAGAAATCGAGAGCTTGGAACAGCAAGGCATCATTGAGGCGGTTGACGGCCCCACACCATGGGTTTCACCTGTAGTGGCAGTCCCAAAAACCAGCAACCCCAAGGAAATCCGTCTTTGTGTTGACCTCCGTCAACCAAACAAAGCTGTCCAACGCCAGCGCCATCCCACACCTACCATCGAGGAAGTCACAAACGATTTGAATGGGGCAAGTGTTTTTTCCAAACTCGACCTTCGTTCTGGATACCATCAAATTGAGCTTACACCTGCCTCCCGGTACCTCACCACATTTACCACGCATAAGGGCCTCCGCCAATATACCCGTCTCCTTTTTGGTTTGGCCTCAGCCTCGGAAGTTTTCCAACAAGTTATTCAACAGGCACTACAGGGAATCCCAGGCGTGAAAAACATTTCAGACGACATTATTGTGTTTGGGCGTACGCAAGAAGAACACGATGCTGCTCTAGCCGATACCTTTCAACGTCTGCGGGAAAAAGGTCTAACCCTCAACGGGTCCAAGTGTGTTTACAACAAGCAGAATCTGGCTTTCTTTGGGTATGTGTTTTCTGCAAAAGGCATGTCTGCGGATCCCAAGAAGATTGCTGCTATCTGTGATGCCACCCCTCCCACGAATCCGTCAGAAGTCCGAAGTTTCCTTGGGTTAACCGGATTTTGTTCCCGTTTTATTCCGAATTACGCCACATTGACGGAGCCGTTGAAACACTTGACCAGAAAAGGAGTGCGTTGGAACTGGGGGGTTCAGCAGAACAAGTCTTTTCTCGCTTTAAAAGAGTGTTTGACCAGCAACCGCACGATGGCTTATTTTGATCCTAGCAAGCGCACGATTGCCACGTTTGATGCAAGCCCCTTCGGACTGGGTGTCGTGCTAACGCAAGTTGACGCAGACGGACAGGAACGCTCTGTTGCATATGCAAGTCGTACGCTTAGCGATGTAGAACGACGATACTCGCAGACCGAACGTGAAGCACTAGCCATCGTTTGGGGTTGTGAGCGGTTTCATTTATACCTCTATGGTTCTCAGTTTGAAATCGTCACAGACCACAAGCCACTTGAAACCATTTTTAACAATCCCGCCTCTAACCCTCCAGCCCATTACCAGAAATTTGCGACATGATAATTTGCATTTATACTAATTTGCATTTAACTTTCAGCATAATGGCCTTCAACTTTTACTGTAAAATACATATAGTAAATATACAAAACCTTAAAATGTCGTTGCCCTAGACCGTGCCTACTGTTTGCCGACCTCTGGGTCAATAGAACAGCCGTTTCCCAAAGTTTTAATGATCGAATTACTTACCTTAGGTATTTCTACGTTCGGCCAACTGATTGTGAACAAATGTGTATATAGCCTTCGTATTGTTCAAGTTCCTGATAAGACTGATAATATTTTTTAAAGTGATTGCAGTGAAAATCCGAGCCGTACAGAAAAAGACAATATCTTTAACAATTTTTTTTGGTATATTACACGTCAATAATTTATCAACTACCTGAATCGAGATATTCGAATCAATGTGAGCGATTTTATAAGTTCGTTGACAGAACACGGATAAAACTTTGAGCAATATATTTTTAAATTTGGCAGATTGCAGAAATGCCTAAGCTAAAAAATTTGGTCACCGAAACGATTCTAAACAGCTGCTCTACCGATCTAGAGGTCGGCAAACAGTAGGCAAGGTCTAAGGCAACGGCATTTTTAAGTTTTGTATATTTACTCTATGTATTTTATAGTAAAAGTTGAAGGCCATTATGCTGAAAGTTAAATGCAAATTAGTATACATGCAAATTATCATGTCGGAGGATTAGCGGAGGATTTGTGAGCGCTTTGTGTGCGTTTAAATATATTTTACGAGGGACAAACGGGAATAACGTAAGCGAACGAAATATTTATATATTACGGAACTAGACAACTTCGAGTAATAACTTCAAGTTTCGTTGGCAAATTTTGTCCGCTCATGTCATTTTTATCGCCTGTTTTATAATTATTGCCGTCTATTTGACATGCATTATTACAGTAACGGTCGTATAGAAATCTAAATTTCATAAAATTCGGAGGGGACAAGTCGCGATTTGTAGAATACGATAAGTAGTTAGTGGGCATTGTAGGCCGACGCTTACTCTACAATGCCTTGCTTTCGTTTGTTGTGGTTCACAAACAGTTTAGCTAATATTTTGAATGAATTGTGCTCTTCTGATACAATTTCACATAAAAAATATTTTAATTAAAGCAATTAGATACGTGCGTTCGAGGTGTTACGCAATCGCATGTCGCGTTTTTCTGGCGATGCCGCATCCAACGCTGGGCTTTGAGACTTCAACCGTACACCTTCACCGTGAAATACAGGCCCGGACCGCTGAACATTGCTGATTATCTATCACGCCATCCTTCGCGTTCCCAGACAACGAGAGAGCGGAAGATTGCTGAAGAGTATGTGAATTATCTGGTCGGCCATGCTATACCCAAAGCTATGACTCTAGAAGAAGTTAACAGTGCATCAAAAGCTGACCCTATTTTCCAACGCCTTCGTCAGGCAATTACCACGGACGTTTGGCCAAGCAATGATCCTGACCTTACCCCATTCAACAAAGTCAAGTTCGAGCTCACTGTTGCAACGGATTCCGACATCATCCTTCGGGGAACACGCGTAGTCCTCCCAAAATGTCTTCAATTGCGAGCAGTCAAACTTGCGCACGAGTCCCACCAAGGCATTGTAAAAACAAAGCAGCTCCTTCGAGAAAAGGTATGGTACCCTGGCATTGACAAGGACGTCAAGACAGAGATCGATGATTGCATCCCATGTCAAGCAACAAGCCAAAATGTGACACCAGAACCCCTCCAAATGACGACCTTACCAACGGCGCCGTGGAGCCAAGTTTCAACCGATTTTTGTGGCCCTTTCCCATCCGGTGACTACTTGCTAGTTGTCATTGACGATTACTCTCGGTATCCGGAGGTGGAAGTTCTTCGATCTACCTCCGCTGAAGCGACTATTCCGAAGTTAGATAGAATCTTTGCTACGCATGGGATTCCGGATGTTATGAAGTCTGATAACGGCCCCCCATTTAGTGGTCACGAATTCGCCAAGTATGCTAAAGAGAAAGGTTTTCAACACCGTAGAATTACACCACTATGGCCAGCTGCTAACGGCGAAGCTGAACGTTTTATGCGTACACTAAGCAAAGCCATCAAAACAAGCTCAATCGAAGGAAAGAATTGGAAGAAAGATCTACAACAGTTTCTCCTGCAGTACCGAGCTACGCCGCACTCGACTACCGGGAAGTCGCCGGCGGAGCTTTTGTTTGGTAGGAAAATCAAAACTAAACTGCCTGCAGTGCTCGTGCCACCTCTCGATGATGCAGAAATGCGTTCCAAAGACCGACAAGGGAAGAAGAAGATGAAAACCTATTCCGACCGTCGGAATCACCACAAACCTAGCCGCGTTTGTGTAGGTGATATGGTATTGATAAAACAGAAGCGAAAGAATAAGTTGTCCTCACGCTATAATCCTAAACCTGCACTTGTCACCAGGAAGAAAGGAACATTAGTGACCGTACAGAAAACAGATGGATCAACACTAAGCAGAAATTCCTCTCATCTTAAGAAAGTTACAAAACGGGCAGCAGAGCAGTGGGCAAACATTCCTAACGACAGTGGAGAGGATGATGATGATGATGACGATGGGAGCAACGAGAACAATGTAGAACTTCAAAACGCAGGTCAGGAACAGCGAGGTCAAAACCAACGACCAGCAAGAGAAAGGCGGCGTCCGAACTATCTTGGTGACTATGTGATGTATTAAAGCTAACATCTGAAACAACTTTAACATTAATAATAATTTGTTTTGTTGTGTTATGGTTACAGTTCGATAAAAGGGAGAGATGTAGTGTTGTTGCATGTTATAGCACAACGTATATGATGTTAGATATAGGACAAGAGCGCGGGCTCAGAGGACGTACAAAAAACGTAGAAGAACACACGCTTGGTTGTAGTAGAAATAAGTATCACGAGTTACGTGAATAAAGTATATTTATCTTGTGCAAAAGACAAACTCTACAAAGGCAAATTATAATCGACCACCTAAAGCTGTATTTATAGCGTTTAGTACTGTGCACATTACAGTTTACTATAAGCTCACGAAGCTTTATTTTGACACCATATGCAAATTTAGGCGGAAGTAGAATGTTAATTATGTCCGAATTTTCTGGCCATGACTTTGGCAGATATATTCGAACATTCGTCAATTTCTAAAATTGTAAGTTTCTCAGAAGGTATAAAGCATATTTAAATGATAAAAAGCGTGAGGTTTATTATAGGTAATTTTTTTACCTGTGCAATTTTTTCCATTTCCTGAATATCCAGTGAGACACGTGCAGTTGTATGAACCATTCGTATTAATACAACTTGCATTTGTGTGACATACTTTGGCAGATACATTTGAGCATTCGTCAACGTCTAAAATTGTGAGTTTCTCAGAAAGTATAAAACATATTTAAACGATAAAAAGCGTGATATTTATGATAGGTAATTTGTTTACCTGTGCAGTTCTTTCCATTTCCTGAATATCCAGTGAGACACGTGCAATTATATGAACCATTCGTATTAATACAACTTGCATTTGTGTGACATACTTTGGCGGATAAATTCGAACATTCGTCAATGTCTAAAATTGTGAGTTTCTCAGAAATTATAAAGCATGTTTCAACGATAAAAAGCGTGATATTTATTATAGGTAATTTGTTTACCTGTGCAGTTCTTTCCATTTCCTGAATATCCAGAGAGACACGTGCAGTTGTATGAACCATTCGTATAAATACAATATGCATTTGTGTGACATACTTTGGCAGATACATTAAAACATTCGTCAATGTCTAAAGCAGCAAATGATTTTAAAATGTTTCAAATGATCAGTTCAAATCAATCAAAATAAAACAGTTCACATTAGGATATATTAATTTACAGGCGTCTTTAAAATGAGCTTCATTGCAAGATTTAAATGCTAAACGATTCGCTTTGAAGGCAGATTGTTTACCTGTACAATTCTTTCCAACTTTTGCATAACCAGGGAGACAAGTGTCTAAAAAACACAAGAAAAACAAGTTTTCTCATCGTAAAACCCAAACAAATTAAAAGCATAATTTATATAAATATTCAGGGAGACAGTGTTGCAAATAGCTGCGGGTACGCGGGTACCATCCGTGAGGAAGGTTTGCTTTGAATGAGGCTTGTGAGGAAGGTTCAAAGTTGAACGCTTTAATTGATCACATGCATATACCAAAAAACCAAATATTTCTTTATCGCTTCCTTTCTTTAACTTCATATCTGGAAGGTACCTTGTCATGACGAGCTCTGTTTTCTGTGCTCTAGATCGAGCTCGTACTATTAATAAACAACTCAGGGTTGGAATAGTTATGCTGGTTTCCACTTGTCTCAGTGACTAACGTTATTTTGGACGGTTTTCAAAACTTGAAATCCTAACAGAGGAAGCTTTAACTCTTTTTGCAACTCTGCAGGTACACCACGCAGATATATATTTTTGAGAATTTTGGAACAGTACCTGCACTTTCGTTGACATTTTCTCTTTTTCGTTTCTCGTTCTTTGTCTATTCAAAAATGATAACAACCACATTGCCGTTGTTTAAAACAAAACAAACTATTCACAAATATTAGATTACTTCTAAAATTATATACTTGATCTTCCTTTAGCTTTTTTTTATAGTTTGCAAAAGAAAATTTAGTTATCTTCAATATCGTCATTTGGCGTTAAACCCGAATATAGATCAAAACTCAAAAACACAAACATCCTAAAGCATTAATTTAAATCTCGTAGTTGAATAATAGTCATAAACTTATTTCTGGAACTTATTTACCCACAACTTGCCGATACACGCATACATTATGGTTACAAGTGTTTTGGCAACCCCAGCCAAACACAATTCCAAACGTTATAAAATTATACTCTACTATAATTATATAAAATTAGTGCGTTTTATTTCTATACGAACGCAATAATTAATGACTTGGAGGAAGTGATATCCGTTTGCCTTGCAAACACTGCACAACGTTCACTTTGATAAAAATTTTTTGTTGTTAAAAAATGAACTTATAATTAAATTTGTCACCAATCATTTCTCAAATGCGTAAGATTTTCACGAAAGCGTAAATATTAATGCCGAAGAAATGTTGGCCCGGCATTAATCGGAGCAAATATATTTGTACTCCAACTCATTCTATTTTCCTGCTAATATAGATATCAATTATCTATTGGCTTGCAATTTTAAAGCGGTTATATGCATACGGATGTGTATGTAAATACAAGCAAAGAGTCTTGGAAACCTCACCGCTTCAATATCAAGCATCAATACCCAATCTCCTGTTTTTGCTTTTTCTCTCTCTTTAGTAACGTTTGTCAGTTGGCAATTTTCAACATTTTTTGTTGTTCTGTAGTTGAATCCAACACATTTTTCTTCGTCTTTGCATAGATTGTGACATCCTAACATGACATGTAAAGATGTAATATTGTGTTTTGATATTATCTCATCAGCGGGCAATGATGGACCTCCTAAAAATTTCAAGAAGACTCGTTAAAAATTTTGGAACGAGAATTGAATCGGAATTTATCTGTATGATTAATCGGAATTTAGAAACCATTTTATTCATGGAATGTTAAAAAATTAAAATTCCACGACAATATCTTTTACTAACGAGAGTCTTATAGGGCGCTAAAACATCTCAATGATTATAAAAATTTTAAAATGCAAAATATCGAATCTTGTATAGGTCAATTTACAAATGACTAAAAGAATTGTTAGCGTTTTTAACGAAATTCAACGTCGATAATATTTTACTAAACAACATTAAGGATGACTCACCTTTTATGATTATGTAACTTCTTGGAAAACATTGGTTTGCAAGAACGTTTCCAATATCAAGCAAAAGCAAGATCAAGGTAGCTGTTACAAGCATCATTTAAATCGTCTTTTGTCTGGTCAAAAGTATATAGAACGGGAGACGTTTTTTAGAGGTATGACCAGGACAGAAAACGAATAGAACTGTATCGTGAGATACAGTATCGTGTTGGTTTTAATTACGTTGCTATAATCACAATATATACCCACGTAAATAAGTAAGGCGACTTTTTAAAAGTTTTGACTGTCTTATAAAGTAAAGCGTTGGAAGTGTTTATACTTAGTGCGCCAGAAATAATATTAATTAGTAATATTTTACTGTTTTTGAATTCGAACTTCAAGGGGAAGGGCTGCATTGAATGGAAAACACATGCATTCATACAGTATACCCGCCATTGCGCTCAAAAAATCACCACAAAACTTAAATATTATGTCCGTCTTGACATAGATACTTCGAGCTGAAAAGGAAAACACAACGTATCTTCCGTGCAGTATAACCGAAATATTGCTCTAAAAAATTGTATGCAATGCTCTTAAAAAAGTCATGAAAATCGCAGCACTGAAAACCAAAATACCATGCATGACTTAATTTCTTCAGGAGAAGAACGATCGACACGACTGCCCTTGACTCTTAACCTAAAGACATCGGATATTACTGAAAATGAAGTGTAAATTATAGAAGCATGCAATATAACGTAATTTGCAGTTTTATTTAATTAAAACTTAAATTAAATTGTCTTTTATTTTCAAAACAGCGAATGCCGCTCGTAAACAATACGTGCATATGTAGCCTAGTTTCGACAAACTTAACGGGAAATAGCAGCCGTCACTCAGTATATCTATCAAACCTCATTTGTTTTCAAGTTTTCGGTGGCATATATGCTGTGCTGTGTATTTGTGTACTTTTGGAAAAGAATTCCACTCATTTTGTCAATGACGTGACCTTTTCTAGGCTACTGTAATTTTTTTCTTTTCTCTTTCCTCTTCGCATCCGCGTCGGTTATAAACTGCTATATAGCAACAGCCTGTACTTTTTATTAGCCCCCACTTCTCTTCTATATGACCCCACATAGCTAGCCATTGACCATTTTCGAATATTGCTACTGTGCACGTTCGTAAGCAGTTCAGAGTGACCAATTTAATACGAAAAACGAAATTCAAGCTATTTTGCACTGATGAAAATGACTTGTTCACAGTGTTTTTTGCTCAATAAGAACTGTTTTGCTATCATAATTTTGAACTTATATACATGTCCCCTGGATTCAAGCAGAAACAAACGAAACTAGTCCCATTCTGGTTAAAAATTCGCCATTTTTATTAGCAATATTTTACTGTTTTCGAATTCAAACTTAAAGGGGAGAGCTAGGTAGCATTGCATGGAAGATACATGCATACAATTAGTACACGCGATTGCGTTCAAAAAATCACCAAAAAAATAAGATTATATACTTTGAGCTAAAAGGAAAAACAGCGTACCGTACAACTCAGTATTACCGAAATACCGCTCTAAAAAATTTTATAAGCGAAATGCTGTTTAAAAGACCTGAAAACCAAAACACTAATAAACAAAATAGTGAAAATACCACGACTTAATTTCTTCGGGATAACGATCGCGGCCCCTTACTTAATTCAATTCAAAAACCGGTGTATATTACTGAAACTGTAGTGTAAATTATAGAAGCATGCTATATAACGTAATTTGCAGTTTTATTTAATTAAAAACTTAAATTGAATATCTTTTATTTTCAAAACAGCGAATGCCGCTCGTAAACAGTACGTGCATTATTATGTAGCCTAGTTTCGACAAATGTAAGGGGGCGAATTGCAGCCGTCACTCAGTATTTCTATCAAACCTCATTTTAAGGGTAGTTATTGTTATATGACCATTCACATTATTTTACAAATAATGAAACAAAAATATATTTTGTTGGCATATGCTGTGCATATATATTGCTACCGTGCATGTTCGTTAGCCATTTAGAGTCACCAATATTGGGCAACATTGAATATTTAAAAGAAACATTCAACGACCTTCAAGCTATTTTACACTGACTAAAATAGCTTTAAAAGACCTGAAAATCAAAACACTGAAAAACAAAATAGTGAAAATACCACGACTTAATTTCTTCGGGAGAACGATCGGGGCCCCTAATTTTAATTCAATTCAAAAACCGGTGTATATTACTGAAACTGAAGTGTAAATTATAGAAGTATGCATTATAACTTAATTTGCAGTTTTATTTAATTAAAAACTTAAATTGAATATCTTTTATTTTCAAAACAGCGAATGCCGCTCGTAAACAGTACGTGCATTATTATGTAGCCTAGTTTTGACAAACTTAAGGGGCGAATTGCAGCCGTCACTCAGTATTTCTATCAAACCTCATTTTAAGGGTAGTTATTGTTATATGACCATTCACATTATTTTACAAATAATGAAAAAAATATATATTTTGTTGGCATATGCTGTGCATATATATTGCTACCGTGCATGTTCGTTAACCATACAAAGTCACCAATATTGGGCAACATTAAATATTTAAAAGAAACATTCAAAGACATTCAAGCTATTTTATACTGATTAAAATAGCTTTAAAAGACCTGAAAACCAAAACACTGAAAAACAAAATAGTGAAAATACCACGACTTAATTTCTTCAGGAGAACGATCGGGGCCCCTAATTTAATTTAATTCAAACACCGGATATTACTAAAACTGAAGTGTAAATTATAAAAGTATGCAATATAACTTAATTTGCAGTTTTAGTTCATTAAAAATTTGAATAAATTAGTTATATTTTATTTTCAAAACAGCGAATGCCGCTCGTAAACAGTACGTGCATTATTATGTACCCTAGTTTCAACAAACTTTACGAGCGAATAGCAGCCGTCACTCAGTATTTCTATCAAACCTTATTTTAAGGGTAGTTATATTGTTATGACCATTCTCATTATTTTCAGAAAATGAAAAATAGCATATTTCGTAAAAGATTCGGCAAAAGATTTGGGATTCCAATTGTGTGTGGCATATACTGTGTATTTCAGAAAAGACTTCCACTCATTCTCCCAATGAGAAAGCCTTATCTATGCTGTAATTTATTTTCTTTTCTCTTTCCCCTTCGCATCCTCACCCACACAGCCATTAAACATTTGTCGAGTGGTGTTACCGAGTGGTGTTCGCGAGCAGTTCAGAGCGACCAAATTAACACGAAAAACGACATTCAATTAAGCTACTAAACGTTGATGAAAATGACTTGTAATTCATGCACAACACAAATGACATTGTTTTGACGATGCAGTCATGCAGCCTATGAGTAAAGAACGAAAGTTTTGTTTGCTTGACGAGAACTGTTTTACTATTATAATTTTGATCTTATATACATGTCCCTGAATTCAAGCAGAAGCGAAATTAGTCCCATTCATTTATTACGGTTAAAAAGTCGCCATTTTTATTACTAATGGTTTATGGTTTTTGAATTCGAACTTAATGAGAGGGGAGCATTGCATGAAACTTACATCCATGCATGCAGTACCCGCCATTGCGCTCAAAAAAATCACCAAAAAACCTTAATAAATTATTATGTCCTTGTTGACATAGATACTTCGAGCTAAAAAGGAAAAAAAACAACGTAGCTACAACTCATACCGACATACCGCTTCTCTAATAACCGAAATGCTGTTTAAAAAGACTGCAACACTGAAAACCAAAACACCACGACTTAATTTCTTCAGGAGAACGGGCGAGGCCCAACATGAACAGTTCAATTCAAAAACCGATGTATATTACCGAAGCTGAAAATTATAGAAGCATGCAATATAACTGAATTTGCAGTTTTAGTTTGTTAAAAACTTAAATTAACTATATATCTTTTATTTTCAAAAAAGCGAATGCCTCTAATAAATAGTACGTGCATATATATGTGCTAACTAACTTAACGGGCGAATGGCAGTCGTCACCCAGTATTTCTATGAAACCTAATTTTAAGGGTTTCTGAAATGTGCCGGCCAAAAAGTTAATAATAAGGAGTATAGGCTGGTTGTTATTAGACATGAAATACCGTTTATGTTTAAGGAAAAAAATTAGGATTCCAATTGCTGTCATTTGGGTGTCGCATAGGCCGTGTATTTCGGGACAGAATTCCACTTATTCTCCATAATGAGAAAACCTTATCCACTGTAATTTGTTTTATTTTCTCTTTCCCCTTCGCATCAGCGTCGCTGGGTTAAAAGCTGCTAGGAGCAGCCTATTTTCCATTAGCTAATTCCCACTTTTTTTCCTATATATAACCCCAGATGACACAGCCATCAGCCATTTGTCGAATATTGCTACGTGTTCGCAAGCAATTCAGGGTTAATGATCAATTTAATACGAAAAAAGATATTCAAGCTATCATTTGCATTGACTAAAATGACTTATAACTTATTCAATGACTTTGACCAGCCTAAGAGTAAAGAATTGAAATGTTGTTTGCTCTACAAGAACTGTTTATATCATGTCGAACTTGTACATGTCTCCTGAATTCAAGCAGAAACAAACGAAATTATTACCCTTCTTGTTAAAAATTCGCCATGAAAATACAAGCTTGCTTATCTCAGAAGTGAGAGCCTGCATGGCGCAATACATGCAATTCTGCTGTGCCAAAGGATTAAAAGATAGACAGTTCCGTAGCTAACCTTAAAATCCATAATCGTATACTATCATGCTATCAACATTTTAAGTTTTTATCATTAATTCCTCGCCTTCAAATCAATTGCTTTCACAGTTAGTGAAAATGAAAATTGACATAATGCGAATAAATCGCAAAGCTGCTTGGCTACAGTACACTGCATGTCATTGAGCGTGTATATAAAAATTATATATAGACGGGCACACACATGGAAGGGCGCAGTATGGTTAACAATTCTGGTTTACATGGTTTACTGACCTGCTTGCTTGATGCCTAGTTTAGACAAGACACGGTTGCATGATGATGTGTTTTGAACCTTGCATGACGGGCATTGACAAAAAGTAATTTATATTTATAAGCGTCGGACATATATTGCATTTCCGAAGGAATTAGAATAAATGATGCCGAGTATTGCAAGCCCACGCGGAATAAAAATTAGCTAATCATTAAATATAATTGACTATACACAGTGTGAAGGATAAGAAAAGTTTCGCACAAAAAATACAGCACTTTATTACGTATAATTATAGCCAATTTATCTATATAAATTATTGCCTATACCATGTAATTTAGAAAAGTTTCTAGCGAATATATGTTTGAACATTGAGAGATATAATTTAATAATTTAAAATTCCTTACCGATATATGGTCGTTTTTCTTTTATTCACTTTCCACTTTCTGGATATGGCAGCGCCTGCTCTTTCAACGCCCTAAATGAAATGAATTACCCAGCGTGAAAAATACGCGCTTTCTAACAGAGTGTTCACTCCAGATGTTACACAAGAGCCTTGCAATTAACAAATAAAATTAAACCGGATATTACTCCTTTCAAAATTTGAAGACTTGTTTTTAGCCGCGCACCGCGCACGTCCACTTAATTATTGCAGTAGTTATTCCCTGTCAAGTGTCAAAAACATTATTTTCATTACAATATTTTATTACTTAGGGGCTGTTTATACATACACACATCGCCTTTATTAAAAAACACGCTATACCATTTAGTAAAATGCTGATATGATCCCGCCTAGCCGCGGAAACGACAGTTTCCGAGATCCCGCTTGTAATACAAACAATATAATTATAATGAGTGTTTATATGATAACTCTTCCATCCCACCTTGGCAGGATCGCGGCAAGAAGCGCCATTTTCCATAGATATAAACACTCCATCCCGCTTGGCCGGGATGATGTCGCGATAGACATACTTTCGGAACATGCGTATATTCGTTTCCTACCATAAAACATGGCATCGAACAACCCTGTACTATAAAATTATCTCGATATAAACACGCCATCCCGCCTTGGCGAGTTTCATATACACATGCTAGACGGGATCATATAAACAGGCCCTTATAGCTATTATTCAGTTATGTATAAAGGTCATTATATGATGAAGTTACCGTGTATGCACAATTCTAACTATAAACATGCGTATTACCGTCGTTTGATTTTAAACCTTGCCATCAATAAATAAACACTAGAATATGAGATCAGAACTGATTTTCAATGATCTGTATGACATTGCAATAATTTATGAAATCTCGGTTAATTGGAAAATTAAACGAGACTTACCTGTAAGTTGAAGTTTGATTGAGATTCTATCACATGACTTTGGCAGGGGGATCACATGAGATAGCACTGCGCCTGCGCCCAATCACTCTTTATAACAACTTGGTCACGTTAAAGCCACCTCAATACCCCACAAATAACATAAAGTGCAAGGGCTGGGAATACCATGTTAATATGGTATAAATAGGGTGGGCATGTGATCCCCCTGCCAAAGTCATGTGATAGAATCTCAATCAAACTTCAACTTACAGGTAAGTCTCGTTTAATTTTCCAATTCTATCACATGACTGGCAGGTTGGTATCACATGAGACTTTAAAGTTTAACGTGACCAGAAAATGCTGATCCTTACAAGCGTGGATCAAGCATAATAGTAAACCACGACATAGACAAACAATTACATAACCCCAAAAGGTAAATTGTAATCATAAGATGGCTGTTAACAACCCCTTCTTCAACCTCCTAAAGGTTGAGAATATTAACGTCAATAAGAACACGTAAATCATAGAGCCAACATAATTAAGCATGTTTATATTGTTTGGCCCAATAAGTTAATAAGTTAAACAGCTGTTTCGCAAATTCAGCTTAACATTGCCTGAGTTAGATCATCCTCCTCAACAACCGGTTTGTTGTAGAACCTCCTAAATGTGTTTTCTGAGGTCCATCCGGCAGTCCTCATAATTGATCCAACAGGAACTGACTTGGCATTAGCTTTAGAACAAGCAGCAGCACGCGTGCTGTGGGATTTGAAAGTGTTTGTATCAATGCCCGCATTATGAAGAACTATTTTCAACCACCGTGATATTGTGTCTCGTGATACTGGTTTGAACGGCTTTACATAACTCAACAGCACCTGGGTGTTCTCTTGTCTCACTTCCTCAGTCCGTTGCAGATACACATTAAGAACATCGACTGGACAGATGTCTGCATCAGGGGTGAATCTTGAAAACCTTATACATTGGCCAGAGTTTCCAGGTCCACTTGTCTTTGTATGTTCTAGGAGTTGAAATGTGCATGAACTTTCGGTGAGAGTCATTCCTGTTATATCAAGCATAACAATAGACTGACCCCTCTGTGCAGTTACCAATGACAACAACATAACCAATTTAAGTGTCAATTCCTTTAATGGTATTTCCTTATTAGGTGTAAGTGTTTTGAGGTATGTAAGAACTTTGTCAACATCCCATACAGTGTTATATTTTGGCACCGGCTTTCTGGTCAGAAAGACTCCCTTTAAGTATCTGGACACAAGAGGATGCGTACCAAATGTTTCTGATCCATGAATGTTAATGATTGTAGACAAAGCTGACCTTGCTGTATTGATGGCTGAATAACTGAGACCAGCATTGTAGAGTGTTTGTAAGAAATTCATTGCCTGACTTAGTTCCGGTTTATATGGATTACCCTGTCTTTGATGACAAAAGTCCAACCACTTGGTAATGTAAGTGTGGTATTGCTTTTTTGTGTTACTTCGCCATGATGACATGATAACTTGGGTAACTTCTTCTGATAGCTGGAAGTTTGCCAGGGATTCCCTGATACAGGGCATACTATCAGCTTTAGCTTTGGGATTGGGTGTGTTTTGTACTGTGGATGGCTCAACATCGTGTCTAGATGCTGGTCGAGGACCCATGGTTGACTGTGCAATAATTGCAACAGGGGTGTGAACCATGCCTGAGTCGGCCAAAGTGGGGCCACCAATATTCCTGTCGCTTGGTCCATCTGGATTTTTTGAATGCAGCGTTGGATCAGACTAAAAGGTGGGAAAGCATAAAAAAAGTTCATGTGTCGCCAATCAACTGTGAATGCATCAATGTATGTACAATAGGGGTCCGGCTCCCATGAGGCATAGTTCTCAAGTTGATGATTTAGTCGGCTTGCAAACAAGTCAACATTAATATTAGGATAGTTAATTAGTATCTGCTGAAAATACAACTTGTTAAGCTGCCATTCATGTTCATCTTTAAACTGTCTAGATCTTCTATCAGCTATAATGTTATGAACCCCAGGTATATGGGCTGCAGACACCCAGATGTTGCGAGTGATACACCAATCCCATAATTCGCATGCAAGCTGATTCAAATCCTCTGATTTGGAACCACCCATATTTTTTATGTACGCTATTGCTGTGGTATTATCTAATTCTAGTCTCACATGATTATCACCCATTCCAGGGCAAAATGCTTTAAGCCCAAAGAATGCAGCTCTGAGTTCTAGGGCATTAATATGTTGCTCTTGTTCCGCAGCTGACCAACGGCCACCTGTTTTTCTCAGAGCATGCTGCACCCCATCGGCTTTTGAAGCATCTGTCTGGATGGTAATTGAGGGTTTCCCATGTGTTATATGCTTTTGGGAAGTAGCTATGTTATCTAACCACCATTGTAATTCCTCACGGGACTTTTTAGATAGATTTACATGTCCCTGGTAGCTACCTTTAGAGGCAGAAAGGGCTAACACTTTATCTTTTTCCAAATTACGATAGTGTAATGGCCCAAACTCCACACCTGGAAAATTTGCTACCAGTACCCAATAACCTCAGCCAACTCTTGAATGGTGGGGTTCTGTTTGTTTAAAAGCAGCATGCAACCCTGTTCAGTTTTCATAATTTTATCAGGGGTTGGTGTAACAGTCATTGTTATAGAGTTTAATATAAACCCCCAAAACACAATAATTTGTGTCGGGTTTAATATGGATTTCTCCCGGTGTGGGGTGAACCCCACTTGTTCGAAAAGGCCTTTAGTTGCCTTGACATTGTTAGTGCATTCGGTTACTGTGTCTCCTAGCAGAAGAGAGTCATCAATGTAACCAAGGTTAGTATGCCCTTGTTCATGCAGTGTGGCATATACTGGTTTCATCAGTTTTGTGAATAGACGAGGGGCACTAGAGAGGCCATTAGGCAAGCACGTGTACTGATATAATTTCCCATCAAATTTGAATTTAAGGTACTTCTGAAAATCATGTTGGACCGGTACACTATAATAAGCATACAGTAATTATGTAAATCGCAGTGTGAATTGTAACGGAAAACAAAATCGCGCGTCTTTCCTCGTTGAACGCAAACCGTGCAGTGATTGGGCGCAGGCGCAGTGCTATCTCATGTGATACCAACCTGCCAGTCATGTGATAGAACCAACATCGGCAACGTTTTACTTTGTCGCCTTTAAGGAAACGTTTGGAACTTTATATCATACTGAGTAATAATATTATGAGACGCCTGCTCAGGGTTACGCGCATAATTTCGTTCACCGCCAATCTGCTATGGATGCTAGCAGTAGAATAGTTGGTAGAACAGTTTCGAATCAGCTCTTAAGCCAGTTTTCCGCTAGCGAAATTTTTCGCACGAATCGACATTTTACTTTTGTTTCAGAGCTCTCAACTGCAACCATCTGGAACAAATTGCTCGAATACAAAGGAATAAAGTCGCTTCGCGCGAAAAATATCGCTAGTGGAAAACCGGCTTTAAATGAAGGGCATCGACTTCATTATTCACCGACAATGACTTCGGTTGGGCGAATAACTTCTAAAGAGAGGCAGAGACACAATGGCATCTCTTTAGTCTAATGTTAAGTGTAGAGTGTAGCAGGGCGTAGGAATATAGTTCATCACAAATAGTTTTAGTGTTATGAGTTTTAGTGTTTCATAGGTTCAAGAAAGACAGCGCAAATTAGTTCGCTAAATGTTGTCATCTAGCGCAATTGTTCTCAAAACAACTTCAAAATAGTATCTCTCTCGAGGTAATTCAAAATAGTATCTTGGCGCCAACTATGGCGCCTCGTAAACGTATACACCCCCCCCAATCTTGAGCACATTCTACGACCCGGAGCGCAGAATACACTGTAGAGTGCCTATACGTAATCATATTCAGCATTATCAACGTCAGGATTATTCAGTTTTCTTAGAAAAAAAGAAAATGCAGTATATACTATACTAACCACTTATTAACCGAATTTGAGGTCCGTACAAGAAAAATATCAGACCGAGGTCTTGACAGTACGGACCGAGCGATATAGCAAGGTCCGTACATGCATAAAAGACCGAGGTCTGATATTTTTCCAGTACGGACCGAACGTATTCGGTTATTAAGGGATTTATTATATGGCATACAGTATTTAGTTTATTTATTTAT